TGCATCCCCTGTCTGGCTCTCTGCCACCACTGCCCAGTGACTTCACCAGACCAAATTATTTTCTACACTGAACTTGCAAGCCTCCATTTATAGTCTGCATCAAAAAGGATATCAAAACTCTTGAAAAGCAAGGTCTTGCGTTTTGTTATTGGCGACTTAATACCATGCCAAAGAAGACCATTAGCTGACCATTACAGGTGTGTTGCCCTTGGCTTGCTAAGAGAGGACTCTCTCTGAGGGGGACGGCAACCAGCAGGCTTCGAGACTGCGAGCAGAACCCCGTGGTTTATGTGGCGTGTCTGCTGTTCAGCTCCTGCAGGTGTGGCGTGAGAAGAGTGTGTATAAGGGCCCCAGGAAGCCAGGGTCCACGCCAGCTGTTGGTATCAGCAGCCTTCCTTCCCACGCTGATCCTGAACAGCTGAGAAGCACCGTTTTGTTAAGACTCGAGGGTTCTGGTCTCTACACAGCTGTGTAATCTTGAGAATCCCGTTTCCTCTTGCTGTAACTCGGTTCCATCAGTGATGCCATGACAAGGTTAGAGTAGATGATTACTAAGTTGTTCCAAGTGTAATATTTTTAACCACATTAGGACCTGGTATTGATAAGCTGTTCTAATGCCCTTTGGAAGTCTGCTGTTTAGCATGTCTCTCTTGCACGTGTCAGGCCATGTATTTGGTCACATGCTTTGTCTCCTGATGAGTCCGTGGCCTTTCTGAGGGGGAGGACCCTGTCTTGTCTATGGGTCTGTCACCCATAGTCAGAGCTAGTGCCCAATACTTGTGCATTGTGTGGACAATGCGACTCAGCTCTTTTCCTGCACTTGGGTACCTGCTGATGGAGTTTTAATTATGCAGTGAAATGCCCCAAAACACAGGTGGCTTGTGCAAAATTCATAAATCCTCCATGCATAAGTTCTGAGAATCTGATCACTCTCGTATGCCATCTCTCACATTTCTTCAATATAGAAAACTTTTTTTTAATGTTTTTAATGTTTATTTATTTTGGAGAGACAGACAGACATACAGTGCACGGGCAGGGAAGGGGCAGAGAGAGGGAAACAAGAATCGGAAGCAGGCTCCAGGCTCTGAGCTGTCAGCACAGAGTGCAGCGCGGGGCTCGAACCCACGAACTGTGAGATCATGACCTGAGCCAAAGTCGGACGCTTAACCAACTGAGCCATCCAGGCACCCGTAGGAAACTTTTTTAACCCCCTTTCCTTCTCTTTTCATCTTCATCCCAGAAGAATGACACCTAGGCTTCAGGTCACACTCGGATCCCAGCTCCATCATTAGCCTGTGCAGAATCAGGCTAGTCCCATTTTACCTCTGAGCCTTACCTGTAAATGGGAACAACGCTAACCTTGCAGGGTTGGTCACAGGATTAAGTAACCTCTAGCACAGTGCCTAACAGGGACTAAGTAATGTTAATTGTTCCCTCCAGGGCTCAGTTCAAGACACCCTCAGAGCTTTCCCAGGCAACCCCTGGTGGTTGTTCTTCAGACACCATAGGATATGATACCTCTGTTGTTTATCTTGGAGTATCTATACTCACTTTTGCACAATAGATTATAAAATGCTAAGCATCATGGCACCTACTAAAGTGTCTACTCTTTTTTTAGCCCAGTGTCTGGAAAATAGCAGATGCTTAATTCATGTTCTGTGCAGGCAGCGGAGACCGCACAGGGGAAGGACAAGGGCACCTGCTAACATTTCTTTATCATTCAGATGGAAAGTGTGGTCCAAAATATTCCCCAGGCCCTTGCCACTTTGATATCCTATGCCATGATGCTGGAATGGATTTGTTCATATTTTTTCTTGGTTTTGTTTTTGTTTTTGTTTTTTTTAAGTAAAAAAGCCTCATCCTTGATGCAGGAGTTTCCTTAGACACGGGGCGGGGGTGGGGGGGCGGGGGGGCCTTTTCTAAACACGAGACACAGTTTTCTTCTGTGAGCACTTGTCCTCAGGTTATCGACAGAGAGAAATGTGATTTTGAGCTCAGCTTTCCTGCCCCAGTGGGCTGCTTTGGCACATTGTTTCAGGGAAGAAGAGTGGCAACTGATTTCCCTCCCGGAAGGACATGTATCACAAGGCGTGTATATCAGGCACTTCAATCTGAAGCTGGGGAGAGAAGTACAGAGACCTTGGTTTCTCACCACTAATGCTAAGGAAACCAGTTACAACTCTCACCATAGACAGCATCTTGTGAATGAAAGGTGATGGCAGGTGTAATGAAGCGGGGGAGGGTGAGTCTGGGTTTGGGAGTCAAGACTGCTTCATTGCAAATTTTAGATGGAGATGGCAGAATCCCTACCTTTAGAGTCCCCATTGATGGGTGACAGACAGTTGCCCTCCCTTCTGCTATTATTCAGGGGAGATTCCTTTTCTGGCTTCTTTCTCATTTGTTCAACAGCAAAGCATTATGGGGCTCAGCATTCTGCCTTGGTCTTCTCCATTAGCGTCTCCTTTCCATGAGCTTGTGTCCTTTTTTTTTTTTTTAAATGTTTATTTATTTTTGAGAAAGAGACAGACTGTGAGCAGGGAGGTACAGAGAGAGAGACAGAGACAGAGACAGAGACAGAAGCTGAATCAGGCTCCAGGCTCTGAGTTGTCAGCACAGAGCCGGATGCGGGACTTGAACCCACGAACCATGAGACCATGACCTGAGCCAAAGTTGGATGTTTAGCTGACCGAGCACCCAGGTGCCCCTCCATAAGCTCATGTTCTTAAATGCCATTTGTGTTCCAGTGATACCCAAATCTGCAGCTTGGATCGCAGGCTTAATTTAGGGCAAACAAGAACTCTTGATTCTACCCCAGTTGTGATATATCCAAGCTTTAGGATACGGTTCAGCAATAAAAAGAAAAGCAGTATTAATGCATATGGCTTGGATAAATTTCAGAAACACTATGCTAAGTACAGGAAGTCAAATATGAAAAACTGTGTGCCCTGTGATTGTGATTCTATTAAGTGCAGTCCTAGAAAAGGCTTGACGATAGTGTAACGGAACGAAAATCAGCAGTTTCCTGGAGCTGGGGTTCAGGGAAGTAGATTGCAGAAGGGCCCCAAGGAAACATTGGGGTGTTGGAACCATTCTGTATCTTGATGGTGAGGATGGTTACATGGCTAGACACATTTGCCAAAGTTTTGTTAAACTCCAGATCAGTGAGTTTATTGAATTCCACTGTATTTCAGTAAAGCTTGAGGAAATGATTCCATAGTTTCTGTCTAAGCAACTAGAGAGGTGGAGAGGGTGAGCTGCTCTTCCCTGATGTGGGTAGCACAGGTTAGAGCAGGTGGAGCAGAGAAGGATCAAGACCTCAATATGGGATGCACCAAGTCCAAGATGCCTGGTACATGCCCCAAGGAGAGAAGTGAGATGGCGGCTGGATTTATGATTCTGGGGCTCAGTGTAGAAATCAGACTGGGGATATAAATTGAAAGTTACCAACACGTGGGCAGTATTTAAAGCAGAGTGGCCCCGGGGCACCTGGATGGCTCACTTGGTTAAGCGTCCGACTTCAGCTCAGGTCATGATCTCATGGTTTGAGAGTTCAAGCCCCATATAGATCTCGCTGCTGTCGGCACGGAGCCTGCTTCGGATCCTCTGTCTCTCTCCCTCTCTGTCTCTCTCTGCCCCTCCTCCACTCACACTCTCCCTCTCTCAAAAATAAGCAAACATTGGGGCGCCTGGGTGGCGCAGTCGGTTAAGCGTCTGACTTCAGCCAGGTCACGATCTCGCGGTCCGTGAGTTCAAGCCCCGCGTCGGGCTCTGGGCTGATGGCTCAGAGCCTGGAGCCTGTTTCCAATTCTGTGTCTCCCTCTCTCTCTGCCCCTCCCCCGTTCATGCTCTGTCTCTCTCTGTCCCAAAAATAAAAAATAAAAACGTTGAAAAAATAAATAAATAAACAAACATTAAAAAAATTTTTTTTTTAATAAATAAATAAAGCAGTGGCCTGGAGGGAAGTCACTGGGGACGCAGGCAGATGATTGGCAAACAGAGAAGCTCCAGGGATTGTGTGAGGTCTCGGCACTCTGGCCTCAGTGGTGAAGACACAGGGGGATGCCCCACGTAGACCTATTATTGACATATATTATTTCCACGATGTATTAGCTACGTTGTCATCAGCTTTTATGTTGGCGAAATCCAATTCAAACATTGCCCATTTTTAAATGTGCATTTCAGTAGTGTTTAGCTGTTTATAGCATTATGCAGCTGTTCTCTCTCTGTACTTTCAAGACATTTCCTGTCACCCTAGAAAAGCTCCCCATACCCAGCCAGTGATCACTCCCCACCACCCCTCCCACAGTGCCCGTTAACCACTGACCTACTTTCTGTCTTTATAAATTTGCCTACTCTAGACATATAAAAGGAATTGTACAGTATGTGATCTTTTGTGTCTGGCTTCTTTCACCAGGTGTAATGTGTCCAAGGTTCACCCGAGTTGTAGCGCATATCAATACTTCTTTCTTTTTATGGCTGAGTATGTTATTTTGTTATTATGGCTTCGTGTCTCCCCACGCTGACTCCAGAGAGCATGTGTGGGAGTTCTTACCTGAGAACTTTCCTCCCCTCCTCCTTTTACCTCGTTGTCCCTTCCTTCCCCTCCCTCTACTGATCTGACTTATTTTAGGGGGTGAGTCTCACCTCCTTGGAGACTTACCCCATGCCCAGCAGCATCTCTTTTGCGTCCCTCAAGACACATACAATAATAATTCCATCAAGTTGCCTTTACCACCTCTTTCCAGGAGGCTGATTGGCTCCAGGCACAGGCTGACTTGTTATCACCACAGCACCATCCCCAGCAAGGAGAGAGCAGTTCAGTGCTCTCCGGGGTATGTGGAGCCCTGGGAGATCCAGGGTTAGGGGAGCGTCAGAGTCTATCCCCTTTCCTACATGCTCCACCCCCTTACTGGATTGCAGGCACCTCACCTCTTGGTGTGGATGGCCCTCAGCCCAAGCATGCCATCTGCACCCAGATCCCTCAGAAGGTGTTTACTGACCATGATGCATGTCTGCAGCCCTTACATCTCCACGCATCTCCAGGCATGTGGATCTCCAATGGGCTGTTTCTAATAGAAGGAAAAAAAAAAAAATAAGACCTTTGGTTGCTAACCCTTCCAAACATCCACTCGTCCTACCCCGCACAGCAGCAACAACGTTCTTTTCGCATCCAAACTCTGATCACACGGGCATTTAATGGCCATAAATGAGGCTGTACAGTTCCCCTCAGTGCCACACCACACCACGGCGCACGGTTCACGTTGTCTTCTTTGCACATGGTGCCTGGTGTTGTGTGAGCAGATGGTCCTGCCTGCCTCAGACCCTTCAGCTGTGTCCCTGCCTATCCTGCACGGAGAAGCTCCTTACTCCTTCACCATGAGGCCCTGCACATTTACCGCGTTGGCTATCAGTCCCTCGAGGGGTGGATTTTCCTCCTGACACCAACCAGTGCTCCAGCCCCCTGGGGACACCAAGTAGGCATCCTACAATTCAGTTCTGACACAACTACCTGGAATTGGCATCCAACCCCACAGGCTTATGGGCTCTGTCCCACAGGACTGCCTGTCCCTCGGACACCAGACATGAGCATCAGGCCCCCAGGTTACCCACAGTTCCATTTGACTTGGCTACAAAGTCAGACCCTCCCTCAACCCCCTTCTCACATCGGTTTGCTATTTGCTAGAACACAGAACTCAGGAACCCACTGTACTTACTGTTAGTGGTTGATTCTAAAGAATGCAACTCAGGAACAGCCACATGGATGAGGTGCCTAAGGACGAGGTTGAAGGGGGAGGGTGCGGTAGAGGGGCCGTGGCCTTTCTGAGTGCACTCCCCTCAGGCACCCTGACATGTTCACCAGTCCGCAAGCTCTCTAATCCCGTTACTTAGGGTCTTCACGGAGGTTTCGTCAGGTAGGTAGGCATGGTTGATTAAATCACTGGCCATTTGTGATGAACTGTCTCCGGTCCCTCTCCCTTCTCTGGAGGCTGGGCAGTGGGGTGAAAATCCCAAGCTTCCAATCAAGGCTTTGTCTTTCTGGCAGCCAGCCTTCCCCACCCAATGTAGCTCTCTAGGAGCCACCAAGAGTCACCTCATTAGAACAAAAGATGCTGTGGGGCACCTAGGTGGCTCAGTCAGTTGAGACTCCAATGCTTGATTCTGGCTCAGGTCATGATCCCAGACTCATGGGATCGAGCCCTGTGTAGGGCTCTGCACTGACTGTGAAGGCTGCTTGGGATTCTTTCTCTCCCTCTCTCTGTTCCTCCCCCCTCACATGTGCTATCTCTCTCTTCCTTCCTCTCTCTCTCAAAAAAAAAAAAAAACAAAAACAAAAACAAAAAACTATATGGGAAAAAAATTAAGTACTAGCTACAAAAGACACAAAAATGTTGGCTAATAATGGTAATACTTAAAGTTGAGCAGTAGTTTATGGTTTGCAACATTTTATTTTACCCTTAAAATAACTGTATGATGGAAATAGAATGAATTTTACCATCATCCATTTTAAAGAAATGAAAACTAAAGCTCAGGAATCAAGCAGTTTTGGCCCAGGTTGCACAATTAATACAATTGACCTTTGAACAATTTCAGGAATGGGGGCACCGAACCCCTGCCCCTCACGCAGTCAGAATATCTGCATTTAGCTTCCGACTCCCCCCAAACTTACCTACTTACTGCCTGGAGGCCTTACCAATCATGTGAATAACTGATTGGCAGATATTTTGTACGCTATCCGTATTATATCCTGTATTCTTACAAGCAACCAAGAGAAAAGGAGATGTTAAGAAAATCAGAAGAGCAGTGAATTTACAGCCCTGTACCATATTTAACCAAAAGAACTCCACGTGTAAATGGGCCTGCACAGTTCAAACCCATGTTGTTCAAGGGTCAGCTATAATTGGAAAAGCCAGAACTTTTCTGGTGGTCTTAGACTCCCACAAGTAAGTGCTTTTTCTTCAATCGTAGTAGGAAAAGTGAGATTGTTTCTCCTAGGTGCTATCAACAGTGAGTTACAGGAGTATCTGTGAGCCAGGTATCTGAAAGTTGCTAACAAATTGTGGGTGGTTTTTTTTATTCTTTTTTTTTTCAACGTTTTATTTATTTTTGGGACAGAGAGAGACAAAGCATGAACGGGTGAGGGGCAGGGAGAGAGGGAGACATAGAATCGGAAACAGGCTCCAGGCTCTGAGCCATCAGTCCAGAGCCCGCTGCGGGGCTCGAACTCACAGACCGCGAGATCGTGACCTGGCTGAAGTCAGACGCTTAACCGACTGCGCCACCCAGGCGCCCCGTGGGTGTTTTTTTTAAGTTTATTTATTTATTGAAAGAGAGAGAGCATGCAAGTGGAGAAGGGGCAGAGAGAGACAGAGACAGAGAGACAAAATCCCAAGCAGGCTCCTTCCTCCCAGCACAGATCGTGACACGGGTCTCAAACTCACAAACCGTGAGATCATGACCTGAGCCGAGATCAAGAGTCGGACACTTAACCGACTGAGCCACCCAGGCGCCCCCAAACAAATTGTGTTTTTAAAAAAAGATCCAAGTAGTCCACAGATGGAAGTTGTAGCTGGATCCAGGCCAGCTCTGCTCCCCTGGGGGAGGCCTCGTCTGAGAGGTGACAGCAGTCAAGCGTCCTGGGAGTTGGTGTGATAAAAGCAGCCTTGGAAGATTGCCCAGCGGCTGGCCCTGTGTTCCTTTTTAGTTTTTCCCATTTCCAAAGACCAAAGATCAAGGAAGGAAGAAGAGAGAATCATTATTTGAGATTGAGCAGGATTTTTTAAACTGTAAGTTAAGTTAATGTGGGCTCACTTGGGACTGACCTAAGGAGGTGGGTGGGGACTTACTCATTCTTGCATCTTGGCAGATGGAATCGTTACCTGGACCTTTATTGGATTGCAGGCTCTTTTCTGAGCCTCAGGCTGTCCTTTTCTGTTCTCCACAGATGCCCCTGGGGTAGGAAGTGCTCTCAGCTCAGTGCTCTGGGATTAACACTCAGATGAACCACAGAGGACTCTGCCGTATTCAGGACCCCTACCCACAGCCTCTGGTGGCGGTGCAGGCAGGAACAGGTGTGCAGGTCAAATACGCCTTGGCCAGCCTTTTTACCCATTCTTTCCTGTCCTTTGGAGCCTTACCCACAGTGTCAGGGAGAGGCCCTGCAGGTTGTTCCTAACCACAAATGTAGGTGTGGAAACAGTGCAACAGAGTAATCTGAACACCGCCTAATAAAGAGATTTTACAATCAAGTTGGAAGGGAGATTTGAGGTCATCAAATCTAGTACAGAAATCCCTGAGTGCCCTCCCACTCCAAAGGCCCCCAAATCTGCCATGTATGAGAATTAAGGGGGCTGTCTTTGCAGAGAAATCCCCAGGTCTCATCCCAGGAGAATCTGCTTCAGTGAGGTTAGGGGTGGGGCCTGGCGGAAGGTAGCTAAACCATTTGAGAAGCGTTGTGTAGAGATGGTAAAATCTGACAGGCGGGGACTGGGCCTGTCTTCTTCTTCGCTGTTGTTTCTCCAGCAGTTGGCACAGAGCCCCGTGCACAGTAGGATCTTGGTGAATACCTGCTGGCTGAGGGCTGAATCATGAAGCCTTTTCCAGAACTACGCCAGTATTTAAAAGCTGCTCCCTAGAAAGGCAGCCTGTTTCCATTTTGGCGAACTCTAAGGGAACTTACAGCCTTGCTTACAAGAAGCAAAATCTATCTTCCTTCGGTCTTCACTCATTCAGCCTAATTCTGCCTTCTAGAGTGACACGGATTCTAATTCCTCTTAGAGGGGATTATCCCTCAGCTATCAAGGTCAGCAAGAATGGGGTCTTTATCTCCAAATGAAATCGAGGTTGACTGGAATGAATAAACTAGAGAAGCACCCCCAAGGCAAGAAAATGATTGGAGAGAAGACCTTTTTTTAACTAGGACACGTGCATTCCAACGCAAGGACGCACAGTATGAGCCTGTGGTACATAAACCTAACCAAGAGTCTCAGGGAACCCCATGAAGTAGATCCCTTTACCATTTTACAGAGGAGGAGACTGAGGGACTATGAATTGACCCAGGATTACCATTCAAGTAGAATTTGAACAAGGTGAGAATTATATTCAGGTTCAAAGAAAGGAGAGGCAGCCAGGTTGGAGAAGCTTGCTCATAGAAAACACAGCCAGCATGGAGTCAGCACTTGAGCCCCAGCATTGGATGGTACGTTCCCAAGCACCTCACTCCCTTTCTCTGGGCTCCACCTGTAAAAGCAGGCAGTTCCGGAGTGAGTACTCAGATCTTTGCTGTGCCTGGGACTTTCGGTGATCCCAGAGTGACTTCAGGCAGAGTTATACTGAGGATGTAGGAAGTAGGGAAGCATGCAGGTTCCCAAAACAGTCCTTTTCAGCCCATCCAGAGTTGTTTTAAATACCTTTTGTGTTGCATCTTCTCAGGGGATGCTTTATTATTCCGCACCCACTAGCAGAGGGCATCCAGGGCGAGGAACAGTCCTTTCAGGATGTGTAGTAAACGGTAATGTGATACTATACGTTTTCCTTATTACAGCTGTCCTGTGCTCAGACATGCATTATTGAATGGTACTATTAAAGACTTTTCTATTTTAAAATAGCTTATTAGAATAAATATGAGGTTGAAAAGTCATTGTTGCTTTCTCTGCTGATACTACGGACAGCCCCTAGCTATCACATTTTAATATTCACCTGCTGGTGCAAGCGGAGCAGTTTTGATATGCAGCGGTGATTGGTGGACTTTCTCTGTGCATCCAGGAGCTTTCCTGGGGGTGGGGGAAAGGAGGCAGCCCTGGGAGCATCTGCAATCCGCGTTAGAACTCTGTTCCTGGCGTTTACCTGGAGAGGTTAACCTGTAAGCATCCATTTCCATCCCATTCAGCTAGAAAGAGTTTACCAGTTCCAGATGGGCTAGGGTGGTCCGTGATAGATTTTCATCTACCCATCCATGCTATACTGGGCCCCCAGGAACACTAAGCTTTTAATCAAGGAAGCAAAATTATCAAATTTGCACCTTCCAAATATTTTTACATAGGCAGAATGGAATGGCACGGCTCCCCTCAGAGAAGGTGATCAAGTGCGATCTGCCAAGTAATCTGGGAAGAAAATGTGATAAGGGGGTGACAGAGCAGGCGAGGGGAAAGGTTTGAAAAATAGCAGATAAAATCTGTGGGGTTTGGTTATGGCAAGGATGTGAAGAGCAAGGAATTAAGAGAAGATGCTTTGGAAAGTGGTCTGAACTGGGATGGAGATAGGTGACTAACTTCCTGTCAGTGGTACTTGAGGCCACTGGAGCAGATCCTGTCATCCAGGGATAAAATGTAGAACAAGAAGGAGTGGGGAGGGGGGCAAGGATGGGAGTTGGGGAGCACCAGCATCGAAGGGGAGGCAGGGAAAGAATGTTCAGAGGGAAGAAAACAGCCAAGAGACTGGTGCAGCTGATAGCATCAGAAAGGCACGGCAGGGCCAGCAGGACAGGGTGCGGGCAGTAGGGCCAGATTTCGCAGAGTCTAGTGTGTGCAGCCGGTGTGAGCACTTGATAGGAAGACTCAGACACCATATGCACAGTGACCATCACCGTGGAGAGGAAGGGCAGTGCCTTAGGCAGGCATCTGCCAGGAGCAGGGCTCTTTGCCTGTGTGACTTGACTGCACATCCTTCTTGGAGGTGGGAGGTAGATTCTGTCCTTGCCCTTTTACAGTGAGGAAATAGAGGCTCAGAAAAGTAAGACCGTGGCCAAACCATACAGAATCAGGGCTAGACCCCTCTTCATCTGGGTCACAAACCGTTTGTCTAATCCACCATGCTGTCTGCCTCCCTCCCGGCCACCTGGTGGGCGAAGCCCAGCATGCCCTGTCCATGGCCCCATGTGCCACGTGGAAGCATCACCATCCCCCTGCTTCTGGGGCTTCACCTCCTGAACGGAGCTCTCTGCCTTGAGCCAAAAGCTGCGGAAGGAGGGAGCGAGGGGAGTTCCCAGCCTGGAGCCATCCGTCTGCTGGCTGGTGACACCGACACCAGGGCCCCAGCAGAATAGCAAGCTTGTTCGCTCTTGTCTGGCTGTTAGTGGTGATGTATGAATAAGCAAAGAAGACAGCTTCATTTTCATAAGTTAACTTGTGCCTGGAGTAAGGAAGACGGGGAACAGTGCACTTAATCATAACCACAGGG